GGGCCAGATGTCAGCCTCTGCTTTGCTGCTGCTTCGGCTGTCATTGAAACGGGGAGGGGGGGGGCATGGGATCTGGGAGGGGAATCATTATGTGCGGGAGGAAGTTTCTAGACGCCGTTCTGACCACCTTACTGCACATGTGGAAGAAGGGAATTTCCCACCAAGGCCAACTTGTCCAGCATTCCATCCTGATGAGGATTTTTGAAGTTATCTCCCACCTGACAGTTGGGTGCATTATAATTGGACTATGAACGGGGGTGCCAAGGGGAGGGGATTGAATTGTGCTTGATATTATCTGCCTTCGCACCTAATTAACCAGACTCAGTTTTGCTTTGCAACTGTTCATTTATAATTAATAAAAGTACACTTGATTTCAATTCAAATGGAGTTGAGTGGTTTCTTTCCTGATTACTGAATGAAGTCAATGCTGACAGCAAGTCTGTATTTGCAAATCACAGAAGATCATTCACCCTTAAATATAAACCATTGTTTCCAAAATTAAAAATTAATTTGCTCAGAGTTATTCACTCTCCCAAATTACTAGAATATTCATTATTTGGGGTGGGGTGATATTGGAACTGAACTGTTTGCAGGGCTTTTGTTTAGCTTGACAATTCCAATCTAAATACTGTAAATAACCAGAAGAAAGTAAAGTCAGATGCTGGTTGGTTGTTATTGTTGGGGTGTGTGTGTGTGTGTGTGTATGCATGTATGCATATCTATATATCAAAAGATCTTTATAGATTTCATCATGTAGTAACTAGAAGTCGAACTTGATTAATAGATTTTACTTAAAAAATAATGAGTCTGAGATCTGTAGTATTTACTTAATCATTTCAAATTCTAACTGAAGACAGTGATTATAAATGTCACTTTTTTACTTTAAATATCATTAATATTAATAGTGGAAAATTCCTTAACCTCAGTTGAAAATAATGACAGTATTTATTTCCAGGGGGGATGAGTTCGAAGAAAAAAGGATTAGTTTTCATTTTCTTAATAGTGCTTAAGAGACAAACAAATAAGTTTTGCCTTTTTAGGAGTATCATACTCTAGTGTTAAATGTTACATTTTATCTCATGAATATACTGTGAAATAGTTTAAATGATTACCTATTAAGTCTAACTGAGAACATTTAACAGCAAATTCTATTAAAACTATTTTCTAGCAAGGTTCATAATGTTCTTTGTTTCTGGTATTTTAATATAAATGTGTCATACAGTTCTGATGAAATAAAGTCTGATGAAACTATAAACATTTTTCTGTTCCAATAGCTGAAAAAACTCCTGCAAACAATTAACCCAATTTTTCTCATCCACATATTATACCATATTGTTTCTTCACAAAAGGGCATTTCTAGATTTTAAATAAGTAATGCTAAATATTTTATTAAAAAGTCTTAATAGTAGTTATTCTTCCTTAATAAAAACATAAAGGAAGGGATCTCTCATACCAACTCACTTTGTTGCAATGCATTTTAAAGAGTAAATGTGATATAGTTAAATATAAACTGTATCTTTCGGATGGCAAATGAGGGTAACATAAATATTCAAGAGTCTAGATATTTATCGATGTACTTTAAATAGTGCATTTTAAGTAGTGACTATTCAATAGCTCTTCATATTCAATGCTAGTTGCAACTAACACCATCTTCTCTCTATATTGTCCTTTTGGTATTTGTACTTCAAATTTCACTTGTGTCCAATGGTCTAAGGCAGCAATGGTGAATCTTTTTTGGCTCGTGTGACATATGGGGGGGGAAGCACGGGGGGATCGTGCGCTGGCGGGCCGCACCCATAATGCAACACATGACCCCCAGTGTACATGCGTGCATGATAGGCGCTCCCCCCCCCATTTTCCCATGCTTTTTTCGCTCCCCCCTCCAGGCTCCTGGAGCCTCCGGAGTGCAAAAAACCAACCTTACAAGCAAACTGGAAGTCCATTCCCAAACTTCCGGATTGCCCATAGGGCCGGGTTTTTTGCCCTCCGGAGGCTTCAGGAAAGCCCCTGAAACCTCTGGAGGGTCTCCGGGGGGGGGAAGCTCTTTTTGCCCTCCCAAGGCTCCTATAAAGCTTCTGGATCCTGGGGAGGGTGAAAAATGGCTTTAATAAAGGCTGAACTCAGCTGGCCAGCACGCCCATGTGCGCTGGCCAGCTGACAGGGCAACGCCTCACGTGCCCTGACAAATGGCTCTGTGTGCCACCTGTGGCAAGCGTGCCATAGGTTCGCCATCCTGAGTCTACGATGATCAAGGACTTCCTCTTTAAAAAATTGTGTTTACACATATCAGAAAATTAGAATTCATCAAAGTTTCATCATGTAGCAATGAACAGAATGCTGGTGGATGCTCTAACAGTCCAGCTGGCTTTCCTAACAAGTGGAAACACAAATGACTGTCAGCTAATCTGCAATTTATCACACTAAACTTGTTTTTTTTTCCCCAGAACAACTTGAGCCAAATATATTTAATGTAATTTGCAATTCCGGCTCTGATAGTTTTCTCCCGATGAAAATGACAATTCAAAAATATTTGAGGAACACATGCTTCTTAAGCCGATATCCACTTCTATAAGTTAGGTTACTAGGCACAGGGGATGGAAAGAAAAACTACAGTTGAACAGATGCTTAATTTGTATATGCTGTCATACAACACATTTCAGCTTATGAAGCCCAACTTTACCTAGCCCTGACTTTTTAAAAAGAAATTGTCCATTTGAAACAACTATTTCTGTTCAATAAAATAGCTTCTTGTGCAATGTAAGGCTTCATTTTTACTCTATGCATATGTATATATGTATGTGCGCACACAAAAACATACGCACACACACATAAAGACACTATATGTATACACACACATATACATACAAAATAAAGTGTACATAAAATAAAAGTAGGATTAAAAATTTGACAATATTTTAGGGTACTCATTTATTTTCAGAACAACCCATCTCACAAGGTTTTTATTGGAAAAATAGAAGGAAGAACAGGTTGCTGCTTTGAGTTATTTATAAAAGTAATAAAATCAGTCCATAAATATATACTTGCACAATGAGTAACAATAGTAGAGATATATCTTAAAATTCTTCAGATAACAAACCATTTTACCAGCAGTCTTTGGATAATGAGTATTCCTTCAATGACTTCTTGAAATTATGACATTGCTCAAGTAATGACACACCTGATCATCAAAGTTGTGACTGTTGCAGTGTCCAACTTTACAACCCAAATTTACAACCACTGGATATGCTTTAACTCTTCCCACCTACCTATCTTCTTCCCATTTTTCACCCTTTGTTTGCCTTGCATTCTGCCACCTCTGCTGTCCTCATCGCCTTGCACTCTGCCCTAGACCCCTGTGCTCTACTTTCCTGATTCCCTGCACCACCACTGCTCTTCTCTCCTCTGCCCCTGTCATCCTACAGTCTATCTCCATCCCCCCAGCCCTGTTTTCTTGTCTCTACCAGCTGATCTCCGCCCTCTTCTTCCTCCTGTTGCTGACCAGGTATGCCTAGCTTAGCCTTCCACAAGATAGCTGCTAGCTATATGAGGAATGCTGCATGCCACTTGGAGATGACCACATGTAGCTAGCAGATGCTTTGCAAAGAGCTGGGTGAATCTCAATAGTGGGAGGAAAGAGACCAAAGGTCAGTTGGTGCAACTACAGTGGCACGGATGAAAGATGGAGTGCAAGGTGCAGTGGAGAGCAGGACAGCAGGAGTGGTGGCTAAAAGGGCAAATTAGATGAGGTGGGGTGGGTGGGGAAACAGAGGCAAGCAAGGCAAGGCAAGAGAAGTGTGAAGTCCTAACAATGGCATGACTGGCACATTCCTGGCTAGTGACCACAACTGAGACAACTGAAACTGCTGTTGCTAAACAATGAGATGTTACAACACCTAATGACCATATTGTTTAGCAATAAAAATTCCAGTCCCAATTAGCTTCCTTAAGCAAGGACTATCAGCATTTACTTGTAATAGGTTGAATTGGGGAAAGGACATCTAAAAGGGAAAGACTTGAGGGTCCACTCTATTGCTTTTGCTTCAATAGGATGGCATTATGTAAAATTATATAAAAAGGAGATTTCAAGCATAAGTATATGAAGTCCTCAATATGTATTGGTTTGAAAGCTGTTCCACACCATTTTAAATAATTACATAGGCCACAAACTTGAAGAGACTACTTTAATCTATTATTAATTAATCCAGTTAAAATTTCTCAGTTTGAAATATTTGCAAGGATTAGTATGAAAAGCTAAATTAACATTGCTGATCTAATTATGACACAAAATTAAGCATTCATTAATAAGGAAAAAGAACATTCCTGCAGTTTAATCTTAAGGGTAAACCTCAAAGATTATTCTTATATTTTGATGTATGATACAAATACATCGCATAATTAACAGGTCACTGCTATAAAAATGTTTGCTGAGAGCTTGCCAGACTCTTAATGGCCCGTCATGTCTGTGTAAGAGAATAAAATACTTGCAGAAACTAATGAATGCCTTAGCTTAGGAGGAAAAAAATGCTATAGTTTCAATCCACTTTGTCAGTTGCTGCTTTGTGCATTAGAGCAGTGACACCACCACACAAAAATGTAAGGAGTTGGCAAGAAACAGACTAAGAACTATGATGTCACCCACTGTAATGGCCATCCATGCTTTTAAGCAGCCGCCGCACTTAACGAACCCGTTTACCTCAAGAACGGAGTCTGAGGTAATCATAGTAATGTTGGAAAAATGTAATTTTGGAACACTTAAAATCAAAAGTGACTATCACCTTGACAATTATACCAATAAACAATACATACAAATTTACAGTATTGTCTCATAAAATTTACAGTCTAGTCCTTTCTCAGACATAAATAGATAAACCTGGCATACACAAGAGCTAAAACCACAAACTTACTTAAATGAAAAAGCTTCGGAAACCAAAAGTTTAAAAACTATATGTAGAATTTAAATTGCATGCAATTTGAGCAGTTTACAATAGGCATGGCACTACCTTCATGGCATGAATTTCTTCTAGTAATCTCTGCGCACGTCTGCGGTTTTTCAACACTGCATCTTCAGTACCCCTGGAAAAAAAAGGCATGTACTTCATACTGTATTAATGTGTGTACCTTCATAGGTGATCACAAACATTTATCCTCCATGGCCCCGTTTTCTTAAATGTTTTAGGGAAATGCTTTGCTCACAGCATTACATTTGAAGATCTGAGAAAGCTGCAACCTTTGTCATGTGGGGTAGTGCTCCGAAAAGCCATCTAATTGGTTTCCAAAGCTCTATCATCTATTAATTAGCATATCATTATTTTACAGGCAATAAAATAAGTTTTGTTTAAAACTGTAAGAATGCTTGATGTTATACACTGTGCATAACAATATAGATAGTTCTTGACTTACTATGACAATTGAGTCCAGAATTTGGGTCATTAAAAGTCACTGAGATTATTAAACCGGTCACTATGTGGTATGACTCAATTTTACATTTTTACATGGTTGTAAATCAAGCCATTGCAGGCATTAAACAAATCCAGCATATTCAATAAGCATTTTCTACTATTTTCAGAATGCTTCAACTGATCATAAATGTGAGCTGGTTGCCAGGAGCCTGAAATGTAATCAAGTGACCGCACAGAAGGGTAGTCTTAACTTCAAGGATGGTTCGTAAGTACTTTTAAGTGTATTGTAAATTGAAATGGTCATTAAGCAACTCATCATAAGACAAGGATCATCTGTATATCATTCACTGATTATATTGATCAAATTGTTGTCAATTGTTAGCAGCCACACAGATTTTCCTCCATAGTGATCTGTCCCTAACCTGGTCCTTCAGGTCTTCTTGTGGTGACTGACTAACTTCAGAAAGACCTAATATTTTACACTTGATCATTTGTGTTTGAGTAAGAACTCTGGCTGATTTGTTGAACAATTAATTTGATTGTTTTCTTGGTTGTCTATGGCATTCTCAGGAGTCTTCTCCAAAGCTGGTTATAATGTCTTGTGTTTCTTGCTTTCCCCAAAGCTGTTTTGAAAACTTAGTATTTCTTTTTCCATGCAGGACTTTAATCTGTGTTGGATTATCTGGTGCTTTTTTTACTAGCATGCAAATGACAGTGTTTGTCAGGTCTGCCCAACTTACAGAGGGGAAATGGCCAGATTGATACCTTGAAAAATAATTGTGAGCCACAAAGAATAACTGGCATGCCAGTTAGCTGTTTTGCAGCAGCAGAAATAGAGCTGGCAATACCTGGAGTGCTCTAGAGCAGTGGTCTCCAACCTTGGCAACTTTAAGACCTGTGGACTTCAACTCCCAGAGTTCCTCAGCTTTGCAAAGCTGGCTGAGGAACTCTGGGAGTTGAAGTCCACAGGTCTTAAAGTTGCCAAGGTTGGAGACCACTGCTCTAGAGGGTAGAAGTGGTACAAAAGCCAAGATGTTGATGTTGGGATGTAATGAATTGGTTACTTTTCAAAGAACACTGGTGGGCTGCACAGGGCTGGTTGGTGTGTGGCATGTGTCTCATGGGCCATATATTCAGACCTAGCATGCATATGTGTGTGTGTATTATTCCATGATTATGTTTGGGTTCTTTTTAAAGTTATGTAATTGTTTACATGTACTTGCTTTGCTAAGTAGACGCTTCTATGACTGTAAGGACCAATCAATAGTTTTATTAATTTATTTACTTTATCAAAAGTACCTACAAATTTAATTGTATTTTTTTATATTCATGGTCCTAATTTAGAACTCATCTGCTTGAATAGAATGTTATTTTTACTGGAAACCTATGAATCTTTTTAACCATGATGACATTAGTTAACTGCTAGAGATGTGCTTCTCAAAAGACAACCATATTTATATGATATGGTGTTCTGCTATAATGTTCTCTTTGAAGAAGAAATTATTTCATGTATTAAATTTATTGTGATTCTTGCTAGGCACATTCTTTTGAATTACATTCCTAGTGTTTGGAAATTATGAGTTCTACTAAAGTAATAGCCTACTATTCTTTAAAGATTTTTGCACTGTACAATGTTTAAAATCAGAGGTAAGAAGTCTTTTTTAAAATAAATTTTGAAAAACACATGATTTCATGTAATGTCACTTATGGCCATTATAATTTTTTACATGTTATGCTTTCATATAGACCACCCACCCACTCTTTGTTAAAACAAAATCCATAAAACCAACCCCCTCCAAAAGAGAAAAAACAAGTAATTCACAGAAACACTGTATTACATATACAAAAAGCCATGCAGTCCAATTTTAAAACACATCATTAATCTTTGACCACATAACGTAATGCTGTATCCTTCCGTTATACTATGAAAGCCAGATCAGAGACTGAAAGTGAACACATTTCACTGATCCAAGATTAAAATCCTAAACTGCCTTTTCAAAAATATCTTTTCTTTGCTGTACTCCATATTTAGTAAATCGATAATTCTTCATACAATGAAATTTTTTGGTATGTAGTTCAAAATTACACGTTTTTTTAAATAATTCTGCTCTTTGAAATTCGGTATCAATTTATAGATATTAAACCAGTACAGAGCAAATGTGAGATATGTGCATATCATTAGTGTCTCTGTTCATTTCTTACTTCCAGCATATTGAGGCTGACCGATAGCCAATTCTTTTCAACAACAAAAAATCAAAGTACCACAATATTTGAGAACTGCTACATTTAATCTAAATTTCATTAAAAATAAACCCATCCACAATGGAAGGAGAAAAATATGACTATCAAACTAACATAAAATAGGGTTTCAGGTACTATAATTTAAATTTTAAAAGCATACAAAACACATGTTTGCCTTGAATTAGCCTTTTTCCACGAATGCAGCAGCTTACATGGTCAGAAATCAGACACAATTATATTTGGCACATTTATTCTATACAAAGATCACAGAAGTATAAAAGAAGAGTTAAACTTACTTTTTCCCCTTCAGTTTAGCAATATGCCTAGTTAGTTTCCGAATTGTTAAAACTCTGATTTTCTTCACTTCTTTTCTCATCTTGACAACCTATGAATGAGAAGGGAAGGGATGTATTATCATCAATATACTTTACACAAAAATACTAGTTTTCGACTCCCTAACTTACCAAAAGATTCAGATAATGTTCTCATTGAAGTCAAAAAGTTTCTCCAAAATTCTCAGACAATTAAAGAATACAGGTAGGCTTAACATAACAATGATAACAGGGAGCAAAATTTTCTTTAGTAAGTGATGCAGTTGTAAAACAATGTTACATGACTGCATCACTTAAACAATGGCAATCCCAACAGAATTTGGCATGGAAAAATGGGTCATTTTTTTAAAAAATTACACATTACATTTCATAATTTTCTAATGGATGTATTTTTTCCCCAAAAGTACAGTAGTTAGATCTTGTCCATCCAACAAAAGTTACTACATACATACATAAATTGCCCAAATCAGTATTTAATACTTGATAATAGGTAAGCATGACAATATAATTCCATGGGATTTCACCCAGTTTAAAGTTCATGATCTTGTCCCCACACCAACAAATCCATGACATGGTCCAATCCTCTTTTTCTTCACTAAGACTCCACGCAGCTTCTTCCGGTCAGATGCAAAGGTGCTGAGACAAAGAATAACCTTGAGCTTCCAGAAAGGAATTTTTTATTTTGAAAACAACTCTTGCTACCCCCCCCCCCCTTAATGAGTGTGTGGCAGGCCAAAGATTCTTAAAGGAACTGCTGCAGGCCTGACATCTACCTTTTTCTGAAACACAGGTCTCAATAGAAGTTCCTACATGGCTAATTAGTAAATCCCTGAGTGACAAAAAGAATTAAATATATGGTTCCCAACTCCCCCCCCCCCCAAAAAAAAATATAGAGGGCAAGGAAATCACTTTATAAAATCATGATCTGGAAACTATGAGCAAGCCAGTAATGGCTCTATGCCAAACATCTGTGAAATGCCACTCCAAAAATAAGAATTCTTAGCCATGCTCATAGAAAATTCACAATTATACAATTGCAGCAATTTAAAAAGGCACTAAATTGAGAGGACTCCTATATGCTGTATTTTAGGGACATGAGTTGTACTTCTCGTGTTGTTCAGTTTTCAAAAGGTGAATTAAATATAGAGCAATGGCACCTCAAGTAAAATTTGATTTTAAAGAGGAAATAAAAATTATAAAAACTCTTAAGAAGTTAACTGTCTGGTAGAAAGGCAGCTTACATCTTTAAAACCATAAGCCATAAATAAGAAATCTGTCCAAGATGACTATTTCACATTAACCAATACTTTCTTCATATAAACAAGGAAGCACTCTTTTTTAAGAAATCCTCTTACAGAGTGCACATTTAAATAAATTATCCTTGCAATAGTAAATACTTGTCTTTAAATATTATTCCTCATTATGTTTAAGGAAATAAGTTCAAACCCACATAACTTCAATAAATAATCATGTATAAAAAGGAAAAATATTTTATTTAGAAGCTTACTTGGCTATTTTAGGTATGGATATGAAAATGGATGTTATTTATAAAAAGTATCTACGGTAAATTAAATTGGGGTTCTCAGTACAAGTTTTTGGCCAGGCTTTAAAAGCTTTCCATAAAGTATTCTGGTCAACAAGGTTCGCCTCCTACGAGGTTTTCTATCATATTTTGGCCACTCATCCATGTTTCTCACCATGCATTAAAACAACCTGGTGCTTCAACTTTTTTTAAAGCCAGACTTAGCCAAATGTCTCCTGACATTGAATTTTGGCGTGTAATCAACAGTTAAACAAGTACAGCTCTTATACTCATAGAATGTCCATGGCATGAATAGCTGTATCAACTGAATTTCTGCCTAGCATGTAACTTTTTAAAGACTCAAAGTCACTGTGAATAAAATGTCAAAAGCTTTCACAGAAGTTTTAGCTGATGTCAATGAAAAGCTCACAAACTATAATAAGTAAAAGTAACAACAACCTGGCATATACAAAAACCTACAATTTAAAGAATAACAGCAGATCATTATGCACTAAAACATATATATTTAACTTCCTATCCAATATTTACTCCTTTCTAGAACACTATGTGGAGGAAGAGTATATTTTTAGTAACTAATTCAACCAAAAGCAAATTCTAACTGTTGCTCACGAACATAAAAATGCCAACCTAGAGGAATCCAAAGGGCTATTTAGTCTCACACTCTCTTCCTGCTTTGATCAAGCAAGTCACTAAGGCAACAGAAACTTCTTGGTCATGTTCTACACTATCTAATATTCAGAGACATTCTCTCTAATTACAAAGAGAAGAAGAGAACAATCACCAACATGTTGGATAGATTCAATTATAGTGACAAAGGTTGCAAAACTAGAAGATCTGAAGGACCAGGTTAGGGACAGACCACACACCTGTGTGGTTTGTAATAGATTATACAGACTTGATGACACATAATCAATCAATTATAGGGCATAGCAGCAGGGGAATTGTCACTATGACATAGCCATAAATCACCTTTACTCTGTCTATTTTTCAAATTCTGTTTTCTAATTCAGTCTGGTGATTTCCACACATTACATGTAACCATTAAGTTTGTGACGTTACACTGCCACTACAACTTAGATTTCAAATTCAAATTCCTCTTATAAAATTTTCTTAATCAGCCAAAAATACATTTTATAAAACTTAAAAGATTCTGCTTCGTGAGAATCAGATAAACTTTTCAGTTTCCTCTTGTAAACACACTAGAACAACAAGTATTTAATAATTACACTCAGAACAACCCTACTATATTTTTTAAAATAAAAAGTGCCTAGGACATTGAACTCAATCTAATAACCTGCAAGAAAAGTTAAGGCAAAATAAAAAGGACAGTGGAATGTTACAAGGATATGTTAAAAATATTTTTTAAAAGTCTTAAAATTCTAAAAAATATATTAAAATTATATTAAAACACTCTCTCTGAATCACATCCAAATTTTATACATTGCAAAGACCTTGTAAGGGGTGACAAATATTGGAAAGAAATATTGCATTAGAATAAAATGTTATGCTTGGCTGCATTGGGGACTTGTTTTTAAGTTGAACAGAGAAAAGGCATCCAATTTAAGCTAACTCACAGCCAAAAATGCAAGATACTATTTGGAAAGTTTGACCAAATGGGGAAAAGATCTTAATAAAGGTATAAATAGAATAAGCCACCATGGAATAAAAATATTACAAGTGTTATCAAGTTATGCCATCTTTCCCAGATCAGAATTTTTGTCTTGAATACCCAATTAAAATTCCCAAAATCTAAGAAAAGTTTACAGTAATATTAATCTAATAGATATACATTAACACTGAATGTTAGTAGGTCATGCTATAAAACAAAATGCCAGCCTTAAGTGTGATCCTAAGCATCCAATATACATTTGGAAGTCAGTATGTCAATCTCATTACAATCTTGAGAATAGGCAGAAAGTAATTCCTTCAAAATCTGTAGCTGCTATTTTGTGTGTGGCATCCAGGTGCTGCTTTAAATTGCCCAAATTACACTTCCAAGATCACTTATAAACGTTATGCAATATCATCACAAACGTTTAACACATGGCAGCACCTACATATTATTAACTACTTGCAGTCAAAAAGCCAGCCCATTTTTAAAGAATTTACTCTGCATATATAGGTCATGTGAATTGCATAAAGTGAGACAAAGTAGCAAGAATTAATATGATACAAATGACACAATTCTGTTGTTCACACAGATTGCTTTAATTTTTTTTTCTAATATCAAAATGTTGGTATACATGTCAAAACACTTCCAATAAAAAAAAAAAGATGTGCTAAGGTGGGGACTAATACACCTAGGACTGTGATGCCGAACCTGTGGCACGCGTACCAGAGGTCACACGCAGAACCCTCCCTGTGGGCACATATGCTGCTGGTCTTCTGGTTTCCAGTGCACGCATGCACGCTGGCCAGGTGATCTTTGCATGTGCCGGAATCCCGGAAACCTGAAGACCAGCTGGCATGTGCATGCCAACCACCTGGTCTTTGGGTTTCCAGTGCTGCAGCATTTGAAGACCAACTGGTCGGCATGCATGTACATGCCGGAAACCAAAGGACCAGATGACCGACACATGCATGTGTTATCGGCCAGCGGGTCTTTAGAGTTTCTGGGGCTCCGGCACATGTACACAAGCATGATCCGGTTTAGGCACTTGGTGCTGAAAAGGTTCCCCATCACTGACTTAGGGTATTAATAATATTCCAAAGGTGGCTTTCCTAACACTTTGGAAAAAAACAGATCTTCTGAGCCTGTTCAAAGAATGACACTATTGTGGCAGTTCAAAATTCCACAGGGGAGCTATTCCAGATGGCAGGCACCCTGGCTTGAGAAGTCATCCACAGTGATACACATTCCACTTTAAGTTTAAAATAGTATTGTAATTACATCATTGTAATTTTCAAAACAATTCAAAAATTTGTTCAAAAAATAAGGTCCCACTGTCCCCCAAATACAATTAAATATTTCCATGAGCAGCTTGTCAAACTCTTAAGTAAAAATGATTCAGGTCACCAAAGTATTAGGGTTAGGGACATGGTGGCATAGGCCGTATCTTTGAAATACAAAATTAAGATTACACAATTGAATTGAAAACTCTTATTCCAATATACACAATTAGAATTCTCCAAATACGTATGTACTGTATATACTCGAGTATAAGCCTAGTTTTTCAGCCCACTTTT